TGCAAAGCCCCACTGCCACCAGATCTGAATCCCTGTGCCATGCAAGGCTTCACTGCTGTCTGCTGAGTCCCTGTGCCATGCAAAGCCCCACTGCCACCAGATCTCAATCCCTGTGCCATGCAAGGCTCCACTGCTGTCTGCTGAATCCCTGTGCCATGAAAAGCCCCACTGCCACCAGATCTGAACCCCTGTGCCACGCACGGCTCCATTGGTGCCAGCCCTGAGTCTCTGTGCCATGCAAGGCCCCACTGCTCCAATCCCTGTGCAAAGCTCCACTGCTGTCTGCTGTGCTGTGCAAGGGATTCAGGCCTGTGTCACCCCCTCCTCATACCCCTGAAGTGCTTCTGGAAGCACACAGGGCTGTGTCTCTCCTACAGGAATGGGAGACGGGTGTCACACAGAGGCAGCCACCCCTTCAGCCACTCAAACATCTCCAAACAAAACGCAGACCTCATAATCAGCTTCGTCCCTTGCCCATAGGGTAGAGCAGGATCCTGACCCCAGTGCTGTGCTTGCCAAGCCTCCCACCATGACCTGAACCTCCAAGCAGAAGACATGCTGTGAAGGTCTGACAGGTGAGACATCAACAACCTGCACAGAACTGGGGCTCTAGTGAGACCCAGTCTGAGTCCAGCCAACTCCATGATCAGGAAGGGTCCAAGCAGGGTTTGGAATAGTAAACAGAAACATCCTGGAGCAGCCCAAGCCCTGTTGCACACAAGGAGAAGGGATGAGGACGAGGATGGATGCCTGAGTGGCTCTGAACCCGCCTGAACAGGATCTCGGAGCAGATGACAGCAGCTCTGCTGGCTAGACATGCCGAGCCTCGGCTCCTCTCCCCACCATCCGCCAGTGTCCTTCCGCTTCCCATGTTCCTCTCTCCAGCTTTGGATGCAGATTCATCTTTTCATGTGGTGCAAACACAGCATTTCTTTGGGTGCCAAGGACTGCGTGTAACTTGTCGGCTTGGGAGTGTTTGCATCTTGGACCATAAGGGAACAGAGAATGCTGCCCAAAATGTTTATGGTATTTTTAGGCTGAGACAAATCTGTTCGATGCTGCAAGCTCCAGTATGAGCATCCTGGGGAGGCTGGGCAAGGTTGCATCGACGAGCGAGGCAGGGAACCGTGGCTGTGAAATGCAGCAACTGAGGTGCATGAGGCCCTGCTGTTCCCAGGATAAGGCTACTACCAGTGCTTCAAATAACATCCAGAAAGAGCATTCTGAACAATTAGGAAGGTCAACAGACAGCTGCTTGTTGGCTGCTCGGTGCTGAGGAGGAGCGCAGCGGACGCTGGTTCAAAGCGCTCACAAAGAGACGCTTCAGGGAGGTGGAAAAAAAAAAACCAAAACAACCAAAGAACCCCAAAAAAGCCAGATTTTTTGAGCTAGGTTGTGGGATTGCCTGGTTTTTTCTTGATGAAATCAAAGCCTGAGCTCACTACCTGAGGTGGCTGCATTGCACCGGAGGGCTTCAAAGGCACAAATCGCAGGTCCAAGTGGCAGGAGAGGACGGTCTGCAGCATCCTCGCCACGCAAGCCCCAAAGTGACTAACGGTTCCACCGGTGCTAATTGATTCCCGCCCATAATGTCAATAATTACCCAGGCAGCCCTCGCGTTTGTCTGAATTTGCCCATGCGTAAAGGGAGCTGCCCACACACAGCTTGCAGCTGCTGAGTGACACACGCGTGGTTCTGTCACATCATCGCCACGATGCGGCTGGGGAGCTTAGCGAGCATCCTGTGCTCCAGAACGGTACATGGGAATGAGGAGGATGCGGTGGGGATGGCCGGAGTGGGGTGTCTGAGAACAAGGCTGCTGGTTTGGAGGGAGCTGTGGGTGTCGCCAGCCTCAGCAAGGGCTGGATGCTATGCCCTCGTCATCCCTGCCACAGAGCTGGGTCAGATAGGATTCACTAAAGGCAACTCCATCAACCCACTGGGAGGCAGGCTGTGCTTTGAGCAGAGGTCAGAGGAGAGGCACTCAAAGGCCTCCCCAGCCAATGTCACTTGGTGTCAGCTGCTGCTGCCCTCCTGGAGCCCCACTGTGTACAAATGACACAGTTCACAGGGCCGGCTGCAGCTCTGGGAGATGCTTCTGAAACCCAGCCTAATTTACCAGGAAAATCCCCAAAAAGCCACGCTGCACCTCCATTTCACAGCAGTAAACCAGCACGTCACTCCAGATGGCTTCCAACAGCACCGAAATTTGACCAACAGATGCCAAATCAGCCTGGAGGTCTCCTCGTTCCCCTCAGATCCTGCTCTGCCTCCTCCCTGCCCCAGCCCTGCTACAGTGGGACGTGGATGTGGCCTCACCTCAATGATGTCCGCATTGGTTCGGCTCTCGTGGGGCTCGTTGTACTCGGTGTATTTGAGCAGCACCTTGTCCATGTCGGTGCTGGCATACTGGAACAGCTTGTTGGAGTGGTTGAAAATGATCAGGGCGATCTCGCAGTCGCACAGCACGCTCAGCTCATAGGCTTTCTTCATCAAGCCGAACTTGCGCTTGGTGAAGGTCACCTGGAAGCAAGCAGAAGGGATTTGGGATGAACACTGGAGGAGAAGCCAAAAGAAAGCAACAGCAGGAGGACACCTCTTGTACTCAGCTTCCCCAAGTGGACAACAATCCCAAGCTCTCTTCTCCCACCTCCCTCTCCTGCATGGCCCAACAGATTTGTGCTGATGCCTATTTTTGGGCTCGCAAGGCAGACACTTCACAAGCGCAGAGATGATTATCAGCATTGGAAATTGCATATTGCCAAATCAAGAGAAAATAAATTTCAGCAAAATCCCCAGCAGAGCTACCATCTGTTCAGGGGCTGCGGGTTGCTGGGGGGGGGGTTTGAAGTTGAATGTTCTCGCAGTGCAGAGCTCTTCCTAGCTCATCACAGCAGCCTGGATGTCACCCGGCCCTAGCCTGGAAAGCACAGGTGTGAAGTGCAGTTTTGTGCCCCAGAAGTCAGAGAGCTGCATGTTCCACCTGCCAGCACTGTTTCCTGCTCTCCTGGTACCTTGCATGAGCACTGAACATCTCACGGAGGGAGAGCTGTGCAACAGGAGGTGGCCGTGGCCAGGGCAGGGTGCAGGCTCCAAACCCAAGTGATTCCCAGTCTGCACCAACACCCACCAGGATGCAGCTGGCTGGAGGGGTTGGTTTGGGGCTCCTCATCCCGCTCACATCACCCATGGATGCTCTAAGCAGCTGCAAAATGCCCCTGAACCCCCAAACGGAGGAAGGTGCAACACTTGCTCTCCTAACAAAAAGCAAGAGGAAAGGAATAGGAAAGCGTGGAGGGGAGGCTCCCGCACTGCTTCAAGTGTGTGTGAAGCAGCGTGCTGGGGCACAGGCAGCGACCAGCTGTGACACCCTGCAGTGCTGGAAGGCTGCTCCCTTGCTGCCTGCATGCAAGGTAGGGCTCGATCCCACTTAGGACCACAGTTACAGCATTGATCTTGAAGCCGAGCAGCTCCAGCCTGAGGTGTGGAGGCAGGAGCTCGATGAGACTTTGGCTCAGCAGTGCCACAGGAGCTGAGCCTGAGCTTCCCAAGGCATCGTCGCCACAGCCCAGCAGGCACCCAGTGACCTGTGAGGGCACAGCCCATGCCTCCCCATCCCTGCTGCTGGAGCTGGAGCACATCTCATCCCTCCCAGCCATCTCCTGAAGATGATTAAGCAGTAACGAGATTGGGCTCTAATCACCTCACCCGCTGCTCTCCGCCACGTGCATCGCTCGCCCCAGCTCCAAATGCAAGCTCACGTGGCCAGTGGGCACCCAGGGACCCGAAACCACCGAGTGCTCGGGGCTGCCCTGAACTTCTCAGGATCCCCTCAGCTCTGAGGTCACCTGTCCAGAATGAAACAGCAAGCTGAGCGGTGACATGCAGACCAAAGCACCAAAGGACCGCCATCCCTCTGAGAAGAAGGAGATGTTTCCTCCCCAGGGGCACGGCACAGAAGCAATCCTTTTTCTTGGTGCCCACAGCTCTCCTTGCAGAGAAAAGCACACATCTGCCCTTTAACCAGCCCTGCCCCAAAAGCATCAGAGCTACGTGTGCCCTACACATTCAGCAGCTACAGGGCAGGGAAACACCAAACCCCGCTGCGCCACGCAAAGGGGCTGAGATGCACGTGGGCACGCGCCCCATCTCAAAGAATTAACCTTCTAAGTCTAAGAGGGTAATCAAATCTCATGCTTCAGGGCATAAGCCGATCACCAAAGGGGTCAGGAAGGAATTACTGCCCCACACAGCCCTACACTACCAGGGGATTTTTGCCTTTCCCCTGATGCAGACCATATTGGTCATTGCCAGAGTCAGCAGCCTGGCCCTGAAGGACTGATGGTCTGATCTGTTCTGGCAAATCCTCTCCAGTAATTCCCCTAATGACATTAGAGACTCTTACTTGCTTTCCTCCCCTGGGTTTGGCTTCTGCTGTAATCCCAGTCCCCTCCACACAGACTTGCACTCCCCGCTCCCTAAGGATGACTGTTGCTGGACCAGGAGAGCGCAGCCACAGCAGGGAGGCTCTGCGGGTGACCCCCTGTTTCCAGCATCCCCCAGCCACAATATTCCCATCTCCAGACGGAATATCCGCCTGCAGCAGCAGCGGGAGAGCAGCGAGTTGGAGCAAGGCAACCAGCCCAGGGACCTGAGGCTCACTGCACATCTGAGATTGTGGGAAAGGGCTGCAGACCCCCACGCCACAGCCCCAAATGCCTCCTGCTGCTTTGGCTGCCGGTGCTGGCAGCAAGATGCTGCTTTCCCATCCCGAAGGCTTTACACAACAGCGCTGGGCTGTGCCACCGGCTCCAGCATGACCACAGATTTTCCATTTGCTGCAGCTCCAAACAGGGCTGGCTGCGTGCGTGCAGCACCACACTCCCCTGCACATCCCCAGCAAGCACACCCCAGCTTCTTTACCAACCCCAAAAGCCCTGCTTGCTGCTTGCCACGGAAATGAGCAGTGCCACGAGCTTTCGGAGTCATTAGCAAAGATACTTCACGCCATCCTATCCCCTAATCACCAAATAATGAAGAAAATCTGCCATTTTCTATTGTTCGACTGAGGAGCAGTAGGACGGTTCAGCACGTTCTGCTATCTGCCACTTCTCCAGCATTAGGGATAGACAGCCCAGTTTGTTTTTCCTGGAGGACAAATAAAAAAGGCAGTAGAAAAGTGCAGCAGGACACGCACTGGATGTCCTCCACGTCCTCAGGAAACACAATGGTGGAGCAACCCCAGAGCAAAGCTGCTCCAGCAAAGCGCTGCCACTCTGCAGCTTGGACTCAGCAAGATGAAAATGAGGGAGAAATGACTTTTCTTTTTCCCTGTGAGATGCATGGATGCGTTTACCCATGCATGTACACACATGCACGCGTGTCAACAGCTCCATGTCAGTGCAGTGAAAACCTGGCACGAGGAGGAAAAAGCCCTGGCCACAAGTTAGCGCTCCATTGAAAAGAATTAAAATTCCTTTGGGTTGCTAGCGTTCAGAAAAAAATGGATCCTTGTTGTGGTTGTTTCTTATTGGAAAAAGCCTGGTGGAAAATGTCAAACGAAAGACGTTTTTTGCAAGGGAAGAGAAGTGGCAGCTAAGTGGGGAGGATGCTTTCTTCTAGGAAGGGCTTAGGTGTGAGCAGCTCTGCGCTTGGTGGAGGAAAACAGGGCGGTCTGCTGGGCTTGGGGCATCTGCTGCGAGCAGCCTGAACCCAGCCTCTATGGCTTAGCATTATGGGCTGGATGAGAAAAGCAGAGCTTGGCCCAAAAGGGACGCAAGTGGGGAGTTAATGAGAGTCTCAAAACGTGTGAAAATTGGTACCTGGGGGGGAAGGGAGGGAAGGACGACTCACCTGCCGGTTCCGCTCATCGGTGATCCGCTGGATCTGGATCTTTTTCCTCCCCATCTTCTCAGGAGATCCCTCACCACAGCAGCACAGCGTCACCCGGGGGAGTGCGAGAGGAGCCCCCTTTTAAAATGTTCTCATGAAAAATGTTTGGGGGGGGGGGAGGGGGGAGGGAGAGAGGGGGAGCAATGAAGAACCAAGGGAAACCAAACGAAAAGGAGCTGGATGCTCAGTTCATGGCACCCTCCGGCGAGTCCAGTGGGGCTGAGCCATCAGAAACCTGCAGGGACAGAGGCAGAGGTGAGACCCAAGCCCATAGTTTTGAGGGGCATCCCATCCCTCCCAATTTCAGGGAACCCCCCAGGCATGCCATCGCTACCATCCTCCCAGGATGTGATGACTTCTTTTTTTCTCCCCCTCTTAATAATGCCACAAGCAGCTGGTGATTAGCTCAGGCAATTTAAATCCATCTCCAGTTCCTGCATACATCTCCAATGTTGAATTTTAAAATGTCTTTATTTGATTACTCGAAGTAAAGAAAGAAATACGCCCGTATAACCAGGCACAGAAACCTAATTCTTAGGGGCAGGGCGAAGGAGGACAGGGAAGGAAGCCGGGTCAGGGCACCCCATGAAACACAGCACCCCCAGCCCCATTTCCCAGTGCAAATGGGTGGGATGGGGCAGCAGAGGCACCGAGTGCCTTTCCCCTCTGTTTTTCTCCATGTTCTTTCTTCGAGTGGCTGAATAAGGGCAGTGATAACGTCGCACTTAACACAAGGGTGCCCCGTGCCAAGGCTCAGGCTGAGGGAAACGCCAGTCCCAGAATAGCTCCCTATCTGCCTCCACTTGGCAGCACCGAACTCTCAGGCTGCTCACAAGCGATGCGACCAGAGAGAACCTCCTCCCTCTCCCAGCACCCAAAACCTGAGCTCCTCTCACAGCCCCACAGCCACCCTCCAGGGACCCTCACCCCATCCTTCACCAGCCCAGCCCCAGTGGTTCCCCCCCCCCCCCTTCTCCCCTCCCACTTCATTTGTCAGGGTTCAGAGCTCTGTGACTCACTCGCCCTACTTATTTTTTTGGCATAGTTATTCATCCTGCACTGCACCCGGCAATCTCAGAGCTGATTCGAGCACTGGAAGGGGAAGAGGATGATCCCCCCCTCTCATCACCCAGTGTTGGCTCCGTGGAGCAGCCAAGCATTCAGAAGCCCAGAGAGGTGAAGGACAATAGAAAGCCTTTTCTTTTTCCCCAATAAATCCCAACAGGAAAGATCAGTGCAAGGACAAGCACGCTGAGATTGCATTTGTTGATCATCGTTTATCCAAACTGCTGCGTGCATCCCCTCCCAGCCAAGCAGCGGTGCAACGGAGACACTGCCAGGTTCTGCTCCCCATTCCCACCTGCACCAGCCTGTGCAGGAGCAAGCTGGGAGCCACGAGGGTTTTGCATGCACAGAGAAAAGTGGGAGGAGGAAGATATTCTGCAAGGCTTCCTTTGCAGCCTTTCCCCTTGGAGGTGGCACTTCTGCAACGCGGCTGCCAACGCACCGTTCCCATCCTCAGCACCGAGCAGCAGCTCTGCACCCAGAGCAAGGGCAGCATGCTGATCCCTCCCCTGTTGCTGCAGCACTTGGGAGAAGGAAACCCACCCAAGGGGTGACAACGCATCGGCCATCCAACCCTGAGAGCAGGCATCCCCAGCAGCAGCAATAAGTGCTGGAGAATACAGGCTGTAAATCCAAGCCAAAGCGAAAGGAAGCGTTATTTTAACCTCATCCATTTGGGGAACTTCTTCCCAGGACGTAGAAGAGCTTCACCACACTTCCAAAGGGTTTGCAGATGAGCAAAGCCCAGCTCAGCCCTTGCTTGGGCACTAAACCACGTTTCCCTCGCTGAGCTGCAAGCAAAGCCCAGCTGCACCAACACAGATCCCCTTCCCCCAGCCCTTTTCTCTCCTGGTGTTTTAGTTGAGGTTTTGGGGGTGTTGGAGCATCCCCCACCCTTCCCCAATGTATTTCAAAGCCAGGTATTCTTTCTGGCTTCCTGACCAGGTGGCTGTTTCACAAATCTCACTGTCCCCCCCCCCCCCAGACTCCACTTTCTGCTCAGCACCTGCAATAAAGCACCCACATCTCCATCCCCACCCTGGTACAAGCAGCCCATCTCCCCAAGCTGATACAACACCCCAGCATGTCGTAGTGGCAGAAAGGCAAAGCCCAACCCTTACGAGACAATGGAGAATCTCTGCAGCCCCAGCAAAAGGAATCATCCCACTCCACTTCGCCCCCCACTCCAGCACCCCTCATGTGCTTCTCACAAGGATGACTCTGGCAGAGCAATTAACACACATGCCAATTAACTCCAAGCAGGTGCTGGTTAACTCTGTGCTGAGTAATTCAACTCTGGCTCCGAGTAAATTGCTTTAAATTGGGTAGACGAGGGAGGGAGCAGAGTTAGCAGTTTGCAAATAGGGGAAGGGATGAGAAGAAAAGGAGGCTCTCAGCTGGGAGATGTTTGCACAAAACAAGGAATTTGGGGGTGCTGAGTCCACGGCTCTCAGCGCTGGCAGGCAGAGAGCTGCTCTCCTCCAAGCCCTTATTTCTGGGTTCCTGACTGGCTATATATATTTATTCCCAATCTGTTTTACCTGTTGCTAAATGATCTTACCCCAGTGCCACGTGGGGCCCTTTGCACCGTTCCAAAACTGCTCCCTTTCCCATTGCACAGACCCACGTTTCCCCCTGAGCGCACAGAGCGGCACTGGGAGCTTCACGTCCACTTTCTGTTGCCCGTTTGCTGTTTTTAACGCCCTTTTATAGCATCTCCTTTTTGCTGCCTCCTCACCAAAGCCAGTTCCATGCACGCCTCCCCCCCTCCAAGCTGACACAATGAAGCTGTCCTCTCCTGCAGCCCCACCTGTGATCTCAGCACAGCACCAGCTCCAAATAAACCAAACACTGACAGCGCAGCTGGAGAGATCAAAACCTGTGGATCCCAAAGACCGAGGGAGAGGAAGGCAAATAAAAGCAGTAAATATATTCTTTCCAACCAACAACAACAAAGTGTTTGTACTTCAAGCGCAGCCTCCGCATGGCTCTGCACTTTCCAGCCTGTTTGTGGGCATCAGTGCAGAGCCCAGCGTGGCATGAAAAGGGACTGCAAAATTTGGAGGGCTTCACGGAAAATAAAAGTAAAGGGGTGCTGTTTGGGAGTCCAGATCTTAATTTTGAGGCACCTGGGTTTAGCAAAGTCCTCCCTGAGCTGGTGCAGGGAAGAGTGCACAAGGGTGGGGAGATGGAAAGGCAGAGAGTTGGGAAGGAAGGAGAGGGAAAAAAGGGGGAAAAGAAGGAAGGGAAGAAGAGGGAAAAGAAGGAAAGGAAGAAGAAGGGAAAAAGGAAAGCCCTCCCCTGACAAGGTGCCAAAAGGACCTGCGCTGCTCATCGTGCGGAGGAGGTGGATGGGAGAACGGCTGAGAGCGGTGCAGAAAATCCTGAATTAAAGGGAGAGAAGCTGTGGCGTTTCCCACCTGCTGCAGTGCAGGAGGAACGAAGGATTTGCTGCAAAGAGGCAGTGAGTGCAGAGCTGCACGTCCCAAGGTATGAACTCCCCCAGGTGGGTGCACAGAGATGCTCCGCAGGCACCCGGCACCAACCTGGGTGTTAGGATTTCATGGGCTTCCACCAGGAGAAGGGATCCCGAGCCCCGGATCTGCAACACCATCAGCACCTGCACAGATTCAGGTTCTCCCATGGCCAAAATCCACTGCACAGCCAAGGTTCCCAACTCCACAGTGCCACACATCTGTCTCACCACGAGGCCTGGACTTCCTCCTCTCAAGGATACGGAGCCAGCTCCGGTCACCTCTTGAACCTGCTCTAGTTCTTGCCTTCCTGTTTCCTCTCTCGCTGACGGCCAGACCTCCCTGTTGTGACTTAATTGTTGTTTTTGACATATCCTCTGCACCGACACCAAGGACTTTTCGTTTCCTCCTTGCCGCTTTCAGGACACACAGAACCAGCTTCCTCCTTCCGAGGAGGGTGGAAAACAACCCCCTGATTCATTCAGCCACAGCGCCCATGCTGCTGGGCGCCGTTCTTCCTCTTCCTCCTGCACTCTCTGCTCTACACCGTGCTCCACATCAACCACTGCCATCTCCCCCATGCCTGCCATCACCCCCCTGCGCTCTCCATCACCGTGCCACTGTCACCCCTCCAAGCCATCACAGCTCTGCACCCACTGCCATCCCAGCGAACCATCACATCCCACCCAGGATGGCAACCTGGGGGACGGGGACTGCAGAAACAGGGACGTGCAGCGCCGCGGGACGGGAGAGCAGCCACAGCTTTGGTAGCACGGATGGCAGAGGCTGCGTGCGCCAGGCGAAGGGCTAGCTCACCCACTCAGCGTTGTTTAGCACCTCTTTATCTCCAAACCGAGATCAAAACCACACAAACGCACTCGGGTCCCCTCCAGAGCTTCTATTCTGGTTTCAGGATGATGCTATCTGGGTTCCTGTGCAGTGTCTCCAGATGCACACGGGGGAGGGGAGAAGAAAGCGGCTGAAGCGCGTTGCTCTGGTGTGAACCTGGCTGGGATGCACAGCTGCACGGTCGGCCCCAGCCCTCCTGGGGACAGATCCTGCTCATGGAGCAGGTGCAGCAGCACGGGTCTCTGCAGCTGGCACCAGCTTTGTGCAGCAAAGTGCTGGGCAATGCACTCTGATGGGTACCTGGCTCCCGGCTGGATGCATCCCACAGCCACAGGTATCACCACGGGAGGCTCCAGAGAGCAGAATCTGGGCTGGATTCAGCAGAACCCCTGAGGAATTTGAAGGTAGAAACATTCCTGACCCAGATTCAGGCATTCTCTGGAGGAAAGCAGATGCCAACTGCGCTGCCAGCTCTGCTGAGCTGTAACAAAACCACGGGTTGTGCCAAGAACGGCCGAGCCTGGGGAGGAAAGCACAGCCCTGCAGCGATGCTGGAGCACCGATACTCGTGTGTTGAATTAAGGGGGAGGGGAGGGTTGAAAGGCTTTGGGGAAATCAGCAACCAGAGGGCTGCAGAGCAGAGGTGCCAGGCAGTACTTTGCTGAAGTGACCCCCAAAGCTGCCCACAATGGGCTTCAACGCAATCCTGAGCGGCAGCCCTGGTGGCAGCAGCATCCTCATTCAGGATCCAACCCTGCTGCGAGAGAGGACATTCCTTGGACACCCCACCACCCCACACATCCACCACCACAGCACTGCCCATCTCCTGCATGAGAGCATCCCATACCCCCCCCCTCCCCCCCAGGCACCCACAGACACAGCGCTGCCCGTTTCCCACGTGGGAGCATCCCAACACCTCGCCTCCTCCCCCCCCACCCCATAAGCAGCCTCAGAACTGGGATGATTTTTCCCCTGTACTAAGTACAGTTTTCTAAACGATGGGAAGCAAGAGCCCATTATCTGGCTCTGTCGCCCACCCCCACGGCTCCCTGCAGGGCATGAAATAACCACCTGCCAGCTCCCCGGAGCCGCGCGCTGCGGCAATGATATCGCAGCTTCCCCTGTCACTATTGTCAGAGCAAAATTTAGATACCTGGTAATGAGGAGGTTTAATATGACAGATGAGAGGTTGACTCATTAAAAACGGGAGAGAAGGAGGGAGCTGAATTCGGGGATGGATCCTGTGCTCCCAGCCCAGATGGAAACGGGGAGGCTGTCAGATTGAACCCGTTGACAGCAGGAGCAAAAGTAAAGCAGGTCCTGATGGCAAAACTCAGCGTGGGGCTACTGGGGAGGTAAGGGGATGGATGGGGGTGGGAAGGGAGGAATGGATGGGGGTGGGAAGGGAGGATGGGTGGGGTGGAAAGGAGGATGGATGGGGAACTATGGTTAGGGTAAGCATCAGGCATCACCCCATATGAGAGTGTCATCCCCTCTCTAAGGATAAGGCAGGGACCCACAGCTCTGCTCCCAGAGCTTGAAAAACCCCAAAATGCACCGAGCCCCAAAGGGACAAATGCTGCCTGCAGATCTCCCCATCCAGCACCACAGTGGGGCCCTGCAATGCAGTGGGAGGAGGGCAGATCACACCCAGCAGGAACATTTGTCCTCCCCATCGGCGGAGCTGGGTTTCCCCCAATGCTCTCCTGGCGGTGGGTTTCACCAGGGGGAACCTCCACAAACCCCATCCCGCACTGCTCATCCATCCCTTTGCATCCTGGACAGCTTCTACCCCCAAAAAATTTGCTCCTCAGCCAAGCAGCTGGAAGCTTTCCACCAAACAACGCTGTTTTTGTTTTGTTTTTAATAAAGGCAACGAGGCCCACGTGCAGCACTTTCCATAGGGAGGCACCAGCACTGCAGCCTGCAACCAGAGAGCACAGCCACAGTGGAAAAGCCCAAATCAAACCAAGGTGCAAGCGGCCGCGTCGATGCCACTGCAGCATGTTTCCCATTAGCACAGCCACGCTGCCAAGGGCAGCTTTAACCCCATCTGCATCCTCTTCTGAGGGCAGTGCACTTGTACAGCGTGCTGCAAGGGAAGAACAGAACCGATGCCTAAAACGATGCCATCCTCCTCCTCCCTGCAGGCTTTGCACCGAAGCTTTCACAGAAGTGGATATTAAAAGGATTACCGGCACGAGCAGAAGTATTATCAGCTCTAACACAGGCCTGTCCAAGATCACAGCGGTGCCGGCCTCAGAGCAGTGAAAACCCTGCAGAAGCTCAGGCCAGGATGGCTGAGGCTTCTTGCAAAGCAGCTGCACCCAGCCAAGATCCCTCCCCAGAGGCAGCAATGCATGTGGGCACAGCATTTCCCTCAGCACCCCTGCACCTAAGAACCCCATCACCCGAACATCCCTGCACCATATCTGCACAACCTGAGCAGCCCCACACCCGAGCACTCCTGCACCTAAGCAGCCCCTGCACACCCTGCAGGGCGCAGCTCCTGGCCGTACCTCCATCCCCTGCCTCCACTTGGAGGAAACCAAGAGCCCCGCTCCCACCCTGCTCCCCCCCCCAGGCTGCCGAAACGAGCAGGAGGGTGTTAAAACCCCAGCACTGACCTCAGAGGAACCACAGTAAACAAGCAAGTCAATAAGGTGGGCTGCTCCCTGCTCGGCTTCCTGTTTGCTTTAGCAGATCCTGCTGCAGGGCCGCAGTGGGACGGCCACCGCTTGCCACCAGTCACCAGCATGGGGCCACACGGAGGGGGGGGGGACGGGGACCAAACGAGCAATTGCTCCGTGCCCCACAGAATGTAGAGCATCCACGGTGCCACAATGGTGCCTGGGCTGGGTTTTATTCCTTCTATGATGCCGTGCTTGAGATCTGAGTGTGCTTGCTGCCTCCTCCTGCATTTGTTTTATTTCAAGAGGAGGAAATCCCGGCTCTCTGACCCTGCAGGTGAGCCACATCCCTGCCGTGCCTCAGTTTCTCCCTTCTTGTGCAGCTGACCCCCTCTGCAACTCAACCACAGACACAAAGGGAGGCACAGTCGTACCATAAATGTGCATTGGAGCAATGGGGGCTCAGTGGAACCCCCCCCTCCCAGCAGCAGGCAGGAGGGCAGCAATAGATAAGGGCTCTGTGCTCTGGACAGAGGGATCGGAGCCGTTGTTTGGCTCCAAACCCTGCTTTTAATGGAGAGGGGTGGAAAAAGGGAAATATTAATTTTAAAAGAAAACGTGGAAATAAAAAAAAATAATAAGGGGGGGGGGGGGTGAGGAAAGCGTCCGTGTGTAGAGCAACAACGAAAACATAGGGAGAAAGGAACCAGGGAGTGCAGCGAGGGGCAACGAAAGGGAACCCAGTTGGGCTGGCAGGGTTTGAAGCAACTCCCGTGGTGAAACAACAACAAAAAAAAAAAAACAAGGAAAAAAAAAAAAGCAGCTGCTAATTTTATCTCTCTGGTGGAAAGAGTGAGTGGGACTTCAAGGAGACAGGCTGGCTGCAGCCCGGCTGTGTCTGCGGGCGCTC